AATGTAGAAAAATTCCACTCGATAATGTAGAAAAATTCCACTCGATAATGTAGAAAAATTCCACTCGATAATGTAGAAAAATTCCACTCGATAATGTAGAAAAATTCCACTCGAAATCTCATCTACAAAATCCTTCAACGATAGAGATAACTAACGCTAGATCAGTGCACTGAACCAACGGAAACCTTGCTTTCGATCTCACGTTCAAACTTTCCTTAACTAATCTTTTTTTAACAAGTGACTCGACTCCATTTAACAGCCCATGTTAATCAGGCAGAATCAGTACTTTTGTAAGTAGATTCAGCAATGGGTGTCTGGCATTCACAGGTCTGGTTACTCTGGTAAGCTAATCTTATAAGCGAAATGAAAATACAATGGATTTACAGAATTCTATATTAAAGTTGTTAGTAGACACTAGAGTATAATGAACTAAGTTAAATTATTTTGATGCAACTCTCGGTATTCACACCTGGGTGAATAAGATCTGACACAATACACCTTTCCTCTATCATTCCTACCTCTTTTCCTCTTTTCCATGCTTTGATTTCGTTTCCTGCAGCTGTGATGACCAGTTCACTGTGAGTGGTGATACAATTGATTGCATCACTTTGAGGTGTCCCTTGAGAGAATAAACCATATTCTGCATTATTTACAATTAAATGATGAATGATAAAAAGAAACAAGAATTTCATGTTTCAAAATACTGTACATATAAAACATTCTTACCAACAAATAATAAGTTCAATTTTTTGCACTACAGGGAAAAGAATAGAGAGTTAGAATAGAGATAAAAGTACTAGATAAAACAGCCGATCTTTATCTGATATAAAAACTCGAACCGAAGGCGAGAGTTTGTATATCAGATAAAGATCGGATGCGAATGTTTTTAACGTGCTTATATAAAAACGACCCATCTTATGAGTTCATTGGCGAAGTAATTTTAAAAATAAACATTGTCTAAAGGCGGTTTTCCAGTCCTCGCACGAAGCTCCTCGCAGCTCGCTGCGAGTGCATGCATGAGCACTTTCATCCAATCACAATGCGAAACAGTTAATTTTAATTAGATGCAAGCACTCGCATGCGAGAACTGGAAAACCGCCTCAAGCCGAGAAAATCAAAGCTAAAGTTTATGTAAATCAGGACAAATCTTTATGCAATTTACAAACATTGATTAAACATTCTTATTTCATTTCTTTTGCATTTTCCTCGTGAATTATTAATGAGATTTTTAATAGATGTTAAAAGCAACGCTTTTGACAAGGACGTCACGCGTACAAAAACCCAACAGCACATCTATTGGTCAAGGAATCCAATGACATGTTTCGGGTATACCGATGACGACACAGTATTATGGGTGAATCGCGATGCAGCAGTTGCATTTTACACAACAATCCGCTTTCCGTCTGGACATGTCAGTTACAGTATTTTATTTTTTTTAAACTTTCAGCTGGTACTGATTTTTGAACCAATATTCCATTTTCTTTGTTTTTATTTGAATTTCTATTCACAGAAGACTGATGCTCAAGATTGGGCGGATCACAATTTCAGTCACGTTTAAGTTAAACCGTTGGATGCATAGAAATAATAGAATTGGGATATAATTTGTAATTCTCACTCCCCAATCAAATTCAATATGGCAGATCTGAAAGGGCACGCATGAAAAGTGGAAACATAATTCGTGATCATGCAAAGTCAGTGAACTCGATGTCCTTTATGATATGAAATATGATAACATGATAAATATGTTAAATATGATATGATAAAATATGATAAATATGATAAAATATGATAAATATGATATGGAATGATAACATGCGGGAGAAACGTGAAGCCAATGCCAACGCCACTTGACGCGTGCTGATTCGTGATAGACCGCGCGGTGATGGCGTATAAGGGGACTGAAACTGACGTACTATATGGCGTGGCAATCAGACCGCGCGGTGATGGTGTATAAGGGGACTGAAACTGACGTACTATATGGCGTGGCAATCAGACCGCGCGGTGATGGTGTATAAAGGGACTGAAACTGACGTACTATATGGCGTGGCAATCAGACCGCGCGGTGATGGCGTATAAAGGGACTGAAACTGACGTACTATATGGCGTGGCAATCAGACCGCGCGGTGATGGCGTATAAAGGGACTGAAACTGACGTACTATATGGCGTGGAAACAGCGTGGAGGGCTGACGCCACTGCTCACGCGATGCTTCACTTTTTAACCACAGAATAGAAAGTAAGACCAGAAGTCTCACTGAGCCAAAATTATGTCCGTGACTTTTTATGCGCAGGCGTGAGCCAGCAAGTGTAATCACGACAATATCAAACACGAGCAATACGCCATCTTTAATCTTTAATCTTTAATAAAATTATTTAAACACGGTAGCCTGTTCAGCAGATAATATTTACAGCGCTGGTTTTCAAAGGGCCGTGTGTTTACAACAATAATATAAAAAGGACAAAAAGAATATAACTATTTACAATGAATTGATACGGATGAATTAAGTAATTGCCGTTTAAACGACAAAATTGAAAGATTGTTATAATTTTCAATAGTTTCACTTGGAAGTTCGTTCCAGGACTTAGCAGCTCTATACGAGAAACTGCGTTTGAGAAAATTTGTCTTAGGTTTGGGTAGGTTCAATTTAATTTGATTGCTTCTTAGATTGTAATTGTCATTTTGACTTACTGAAAACAATTTTCCAAGGTATCGAGGTAATCGACCAGTTAGTACTTTAAATGTCATTATTAACTGTCGTTGTTTTAGAAGTTCTTCTATTGGAAGCCAATTAAGACTATCTAGCGTTTGCATGGAACGAACCTCGTATGTGTCCCCTGTTATCACACGCGCTGCTCTCTTCTGCAGTATAAACGATTTATCAATTATCGAACAACATCCATCATTCCAGATTGTTGAACAATAATTGAAATGAGGCCCCACTAAGGCATTGTAGATTTTTATCAGACTATCTCTATTGACAAACAATTTTGCTCTTTTCAGCAGGGCGATATTATTTGAAATTGTTTTACATTGCATTTCATTATGTTTATTCCATTTTAACTGGTCGTCAAGGATCATGCCTAGTGACTTTTTTGGTAAACTCGCTTAATGTTGTTTCCCCCTAATGTTAGTACTGGGCTATTTTCAATTGAAGCTAAGCGACGTCTTGATCCTATTATCATAAATTCACTCTTTTTCATATTTAATGAGAGCTTGTTAGCTGTCAACCACCTATGAACATTTTCAATGTCTTTATTAAGTTTGATCTCAATTTCATATGGACTAAACCCTTCCCAAGAAAGGCTTGTGTCATCAGCAAAAAGATTTGCTTTAGTTGTCTCTAAACAGTTAGGAAGATCATTTATGTACAATAGGAATAAAATAGGCCCAAGGTTAGAGCCCTGAGGTATCCCGCATTTATTTGTCTAACAGCTGACATCTTGCTATTCACAGAGCATATTTGGCTTCGACCAGAAACGTATGATTCGAACCATTTCAGGCTAGTTCCTTTAATACCATATAATTCAAGCTTTGATAAAAGAATATGATGGTCGACAGTATCAAAAGCTTGTTTAAGGTCTAGAAATAAAACTCCGCTAAGTAAACCTCTGTCCATATTGAACAACCATTCATTTGTAGAACTAAGCAGTGCAGTTTCAGTAGAATGTTGATGACAGAAGCCAGACTGCTGTTCCACAAGAATGCCATTCAACCTCAAGAATGAACTTAGCTGCAGGTATACCAGTTTTTCGAAAAGTTTAGCTACAGCTGAAATAACAGATATTGGCCTATAATTTTCACAGTCTGCCTTATTTCCTTCTTTAAATATGGGGGTCACCTTTGCTAATTTCCAATCATTGGGGAAAATTGCTCTTTGAAGGGATACATTGAATATGTTCACTAGTGGTCCTGCCACAATGTTAGATGCGTCTTTTAGTAACCTTATACTAATACCATCAAGCCCTGGAGATTTCTTAGTTTTAATTTCATTGAGTGCATCTATTGTTTCTTGGAGTGTAATGCTTGTAAAGTTGAATATACTACCATCAAGAGGAGTCACAAAGTTCATTGGATCAGTGCAGTTACCTGTGATCTTGTCAGACAACGTACTGCCAATTGTGGAAAAATATTGATTGAAGGCATCTGCAATTTTATCATCGTCAGTAATAAGTTGGCCATTTATATCTAGTTCTTTAACCTCTGAAGTTTCAGGCTTTTTGTTTAATAATTCGTTAATAGTTCGCCAACTTTCTTTGCTATTTTTAGCATTGCTTAGTTTATCTCTAAAGTATTCTTGTTTAGTTTCTTTTATGAGATTATTTAACTTGTTTTTACATCTCTTGTTATCATAATACGCAGATCTTAATTTAATCGATTGCTTTTTAAGGTAATCCCTACGATAGCTCATTTGCTTAATTTCATTTGTCAGCCACGGTTTATATTCACTCTTGACACGACGTTGTCTGATTGGTTCCAAAATCGTTCCATAAGGCATTTGGGTCAGTTAAAATAGCTGAATCCAAGGGCAAACTAAAAACCTCACTTAGATCGTTGTTAAACTGGTTAACATTATAATTTTTATAATGTCTAGTAAAGACAGTTTTTGGTGGCGCCTTAGGAATGCTGAGCTTTCGACACAGATAAACAAGACTATGATCACTGATACCAAGGTGTATTACTCCTGTATCTAATATTTTATCATCACCATAATAAGTGAGGATAACATCCAGTAGTGATGCTGTTGTATTAGTAATTCTCGTGGGACACTGTATGTGTTGCTGTAATTGATAAATGTCAATCAGGTCAATTAGTTTAGAAGTAGGCAAACTTTTGTTCTGCTCAAGAATGTTACAATTGAGATCTCCGGTTATGATAATTTCTTTATTTTCGTCCTCAAGTAGTTTTAAAAAATTTTCAAATTCGCTAAACAACTCAACGCTGGAATTTGGTGGTCTGTACCATGTTGTAATTAACTGAGGTTTACTTTTAAATTTTTTAATTTCTACGCAAATCAACTCTAAATTATCAGGGAAGAGGTCTTCGCGAATGGTGTATGGTATGTTGCTTCTAATATACATTGCAACACCTCCTCCGCTTCTGTTTCGATCACGCCTAACAATATCATAACCAGGAATTTCAATTTCACCGTTTAGTACGCTACTATCTAATCTAGTTTCGTTAAGCGTTATAATGTCAAAAAGTTTGTTTTGCATATATAGCAAAAGCTCATCATAGTGTTTTATCAAACTTGCTATATTTAGATGACATACTTTAAAACCTTTAAGTTTAGGAAAAAGAGAGCCGCTAGCGTGTGACTGTTGTCTATTTACATCATTACCCAGAGGGCTATTAGCATTATTGGCATTATCGTTTTCAATGGAATTAAACCTCTGTATATTACTATCATCTGAGGGAGTAATATTATTTTGATTGTTCGTTTGTCAATTGTTCGATTGTTCGTTAATAAAGGCACGAACTTTGCCAACGGCAAACGGCTTCCTGCAAATCGAATTTTGCAGTGTAAGCAGTGCTCAGTAGGCAGTAATATATATATATATATATATATATATATATATATATATATATATATATATATATATATATATATATATATATATTAACATTGTAGGATGAGGTTAATTTGTCCAACACTCAAACATGTAGCAATGCCAATGACAATGTTGGATCAATTTTAAACAGGCCTTGGCTTGAATAACTAGACTTAGTTCTTAACTCTTTCCCGACATTGATTGGCCGTTGAAATGGAATGTGTAGTTCAATCTTAGCCACAATTCCTGGTTTCCGGCAACGGATTATCCCAGAGCCTTGCGTTCCTTCTCGAGGATCGTAGGCTGGGGGAACGAGCTTGCGTTTACACGCAATCCGTCAAATAATTGGACGCAGAGCTATGATTGGTTGATAGCTTGTTCAAATGAAGCGATGGACAAACATTCATAAACTGAATTTCCCGTGGCGTTTGTAAAACCGAGCAAAGCAAACTCGCAAAGTTTCGGAATTGCGGCAGCCGGCAAGGACCATTTTATATAGTATGGCGTTCCTTAATTTATATTATAGCCAATAATGAAATATTATTAAATACATATAATATTAAACTTAAGTCTTAATCCAATATTAAAAAGTTCAAGAATTATCCTTAATTACATTATTCTTAATTATACTGTAGTATATAGTATAGCCATATGATATGAAACACACTAGCCTCTTCCGCAGGCATGTCACATTATGAATCGGACATGACGGCTGAAGTTCGGGTTACTTCGAAAATTTAAACGGGTTCGTAAACAATCTGCGAAGTTCTCCCCTTGACGAGTAAAATCGTATGGCATTAGGCAGAGTAAAATACTAAAGTAGGGTGCGTCAGGATGCAATGAGACTCAATGGGTTAATTATTGAGAAAATTATTGTTAGAGGCTAGAACAATTTAGGCTCTATTCTCTAACAATAATTTTCTCAATCATTAAGACATCAATTTCACTGGATAGAGCTGTAAAAATAATACTTTTGATTATGGTTCACGAAGGAAAGGAGTAGTGTCGACAACATTCTCAAACTGATACATGCAAATTACGCGAATATTCAGGTTCTTTGTAGTTTTGCTATTCAGACAACAATTAAATAGTACACAGTAATAACAGCGTGATTGCGTTAATCAGAACAAGTAAACCGAGATGTAGTGAATACTTTTTATTTAAACTTATTTTTATTTATACAAAGCATACTTTGTCGCTTATAGTTAGGGACCGGTCATAAAGTAACTGCTAGGGTGGGCTGGAGTGATTTGGTCATGGGCCAATGGAACATTTTTGGGTAGTTTCGATGGGCCGCCAATTTTTTTATATGTCCACGGTTGGGCCACCAAACAAAAACCCGTGCATGTCTACTTCAAAAAATAAAGATATTAATAATAAAAGTAAACAAACTATCCAAAATATCAAATGCAAATGATGCTATTGAAGCCAGTACTTTGTGGTCGAATCACATCAAATACAACCAACTGGAGAGCAGCTCAGTATCACTATGTGTTGGGCAAGCTTGGTGGAATTATGTATATCAATACAGTGCCGTGTATATTTTACAATGTACATACCTGCAAGTTTTTTTTTCTTATAAAAGTGTATTTTCCCAATTTAGGTTGGGTGGGTCATGAAATTTTTTTTGTAAGATTAGATGGGCTTCGAAATTTTCATCTACATCCTAAGATGGGTCACCGAACTTATTAGCAAAATTTGTGATTTACTTCCAGCCCACCCTAGCAGTTACTGTATGACCAGTCCCTTATCAAAACTTTATAATTACAATTCGCATAATCGAACATACTTTTTTTTTCAAAATCAATAATCAATATTCCTGGACAATATTGATTTCTATTGAATTCGATAATAATGCATAGACATGGCATGGATCAACTATTGTTGTTACCCCCCCCCGGATAATGCAGAAACTTATAAATATGCGATACTGGTTGATGACAAGGTATTTATAAGGGGCTGTTTATATGGTCACGCTTACCCGGGATTCAATGAAGTGTGACGTATTTTGAGCAATTGAAATACGTGTTTTAGGCCTAAACAAAAGTTAGATAACTTTAAATATTGTTTAAGCGAAATTAGGAACGCGCTAGAAGTTATGTAGTGGAAGAAGACGATTAATAACATTCAACATTGATGTTTCTTATGTTTAATTTTTTACCGATTCCCTTGGTTGGCCGGGTGGGGAACTGTCAACTACATTCTTGAAAAAAAAAACAAATCCAGGGGGTTTTGCCCGGGAAGGGGGGTGGTAACCGCATGGATTGAACAATGCATAAAGCGCACTTGAAAACACTACAGTAGGTAGTTGCGCCATATAAAATGATAATTATTACTATTACAGATATCCATAGTTATGAATGAAGTATTTTATCTCTTTCCCTGATTCTTTTTCGTTATCAACAACTTTTTGGACGAATTCTTAATCTACAATCTACATGATAATAAATAAAATAATTATAACAGTGATCGACAATAAAAATATAAATAAATAAAACAACGAAAATATAAATCGTTAAAAAATCTACATGTATAAAATATTGTTTTTGTTAGAATGTATTTTTTGTGTAAGCCATAGTAAACACTACAGTAGTACAGTCCTTATACAGGGCCTATATATGTTCACATTCAGAATGGCAAAACGGCTGTAATGATTCCAATTCACAAATTATATCCTATGTACGTATTTTTTTTTTCTTAGTACGAAATAAAGAAACATCAGTTGTTACAGTCATACTTACCGCATCTTGCCAGCTTAAACTAGTCTTTGAAGTATGCGTGTTACATTTGGTTGCGTTTTATGTTATCATCACATAATAGTCCATCGACCTATAAAATAATGAATCAAATGCCCTTTAGTTACATTTGACTTTGTGTAATTGTTGTCGCAGTCCAAATCATCGAACATGATAAACAAACATTGTCGTATTTGCAAATTTATTGGTATATATAAATTTCCGCCATAGTATCTGCTAGGCATTCTGGAGTATCTTTTGATAGTCAGAACACAAATAGATCCAAGTTTCGTATTACATACACGTTTCCTTCTTGCGCTTACTCCAACTGGATTGGGGGTTTACTAAATAACGAAGCAATTCATTCGTATGTTTGCGATGTTACTCTGAGTGCATATCCACACCGGGCGAGCTTGAAAAATATGCCCGGCCACGGTGGGATTCGAACCTACGACCTTTGGAATACTAGCCCAATGCTCTTCCAACTGAGCTACGCGGTCAGGACGGTTCGAGTAAGTGATATTTCGGAACAGTCTCTAGTTCCTTCAATACCAATGTGTATTGGGCTAGTATTCCAAAGGTCGTAGGTTCGAATCCCACCGTGGCCGGGCATATTTTTCAAGCTCGCCCGGTGTGGATATGCACCCAGAGTAACATCGCAAACATATTATTCACCTGAGTACACAACACCAACACAGAAAAAAATGTAATTCATTCTTGTAAACAAAAAAGCAATTGTCAAGTTGAGCAAATGTCAATGCAAATCACTCTTCCGAGCTATTGCAATGCTACCATTTATAACGACGGAGACCAGGCTGACACTCCACCTCAAATATGTGTAAGATTAATTATAATTGTTTTCTCAAATGTAAGTGGAATCTATATATTATAGTTCTTATCACTTAGGATATGCGCTTTGAACGGGTACATGGGAACATGAATTTCCAATGTGACTGTAAGTAACGAGTTCTACTTATGAATTAGATGTAACATCTATCACAGCGAAACGTACCTCAATTTGCCAGCTTGAACATCTTTCTTGAAGTATATGTGTTACATTTGTTAAAGTCTCTTATCCCATGTACATATCACCACTCGCGATAAATCCTGATGTAAAATAAGACATGCACTTCTTAAACCAATTTGTTAGTAACAATTTTCCTCCGTAACCGCTAAGGATATGATATACTATCTGAAAAGTCATGATCTAAATACTTACATATCATTTTCACATGCTTCATCCAGGTATAATTGTATCATCAGACGCATCCTTTTTAGATTACAGTACCAGGCTGACACTCCACCTCAAATATGTGTAAGATTAATTATAATTGTTTTCTCAAATGTAAGTGGAATCTATATATTATAGTTCTTATCACTTAGGATATGCGCTTTGAACGGGTACATGGGGACATGAATTTCCAATGTGACTGCAAGTAACGAGTTCTACTTATGAATTAGATGTAACATCTATCACAGCGAAACGTACCTCAATTTGCCAGCTTGAACATCTTTCTTGAAGTATATGTGTTACATTTGTTAAAGTCTCTTATCCCATGTACATATCACCACTCGCGATAAATTCTGATGTAAAATAAGAAATGCACTTTTTAAACCAATTTGTGAGTAACAATTTTCTTCCGTAAAAACGCTAAGGATATGGTATACTATCTGAAAAGTCATGATCTAAATACTTACATATCATTTTCACATGCTTCGTCCAGGTAATTGTATCATCAGACGCATCCGTTTTAGATTACAGTACCAGGCTGACACTCCACCTCAAATATGTGTAAGATTAATTATAATTGTTTTCTCAAATGTAAGTGGAATCTATATATTATAGTTCTTATCACTTAGGATATGCGCTTTGAACGGGTACATGGGGACATGAATTTCCAATGTGACTGTAAGTAACGAGTTCTACTTATGAATTAGATGTAACATCTATCACAGCGAAACGTACCTCAATTTGCCAGCTTGAACATCTTTCTTGAAGTATATGTGTTACATTTGTTAAAGTCTCTTATCCCATGTACATATCACCACTCGCGATAAATTCTGATGTAAAATAAGAAATGCACTTTTTAAACCAATTTGTGAGTAACAATTTTCTTCCGTAAAAACGCTAAGTATATGGTATACTATCTGAAAAGTCATGATCTAAATACTTACATATCATTTTCACATGCTTCGTCCAGGTAATTGTATCATCAAACGCATCCTTTTTAGATTACAGTACGCATATAAAAGTTATCTCGCGCGATGGCTACAACACTCGCCCGTTATTTATGCATGATTACGCATGTCATATCGCAACGGCGCCACTGTTTCCCAGCTATCATCGCCTGTTGCGCAGCGTAGTGTTCATAAAATCTCGTCCGATCGCGCACTAAATATGCGTACTCATAATCATATGAAACAATTTTTCCATTACAATTAATACTTCATTGTTGAACCGTAAAGTCACGTAGTGAGCCTTTATTCAGTTACTGTATATATTTATTCAATGATATGGATTGTCATCACGAGAATAAATTTCGTCTTATCTGTGTCCCCTTATTTAGATTTTACCTCGCAATTACACGATTTCAGGACTTCACCGTCTGCATATGTTACACGACAACAGTATATGCCAACATTATCCTCTTTTAAGAGAAAACTGTATGTTTGTTCATAAGACCTTAACATGTTTTTAAAAATCCATTCAAATTTCACAGGCTTTTCTCCGGTAAATGAACACCGAATTGTAACCATCCCACCGAAAACTTGTAGATATGTTGTTGGTACAATACACATTCTATTATTGATTATAGGCGTAGAAGAATTAATCAAATTTCCTTGTACCAGTTCATATGCGATCATCGGTCGTGACGAATTAATTGTTTCGCTGTACGGCATTCCATTGAATAAATCTAGTCTGTATCGGGCGTATGATAAAATGTAAACACCACAACAGATAAAGTCTTCTTGTATTGGAAATCTGTCCTCCCAATAAATTTCAAATTCTGTGACGAATCTTTTACTGTTAATTTCTACATTGTATGATCGGGAAACATATAATTTTCTAAAATATTCCTTGATCATCTCAATTAAAGTTACTCTCTGCACACCACGTCGTAAAGGATCGTAGAAAAATATAAGTTGTTTTCGAGGATCAATTACAATCACACACCAGTGTCGTCCATTCCCTACGTTAATTGGTATGATCATTACATCAAATAAATCAAAGTATACAGAACGATAATGCCTTGACATCATTTTATTAAATTCATCCTCTTTACCTGGTTTGGAAACGGAGCGCAGTTTGGTAATAAACTGTGTGGCAAATGCAAAACATTGAATTCCTATGCTGTTACATTGTTTCACTAACAAAGACAAGTATGCATCGATTATTCTGTCATTTAGCCAGCCTGGGTCTTCCAATGTGTAAGACTCGTTAGATTTCTTTGCAACCCATGGTTCGAGACTTTTGAAATCTTTTCCGTATAGTTCATATCCATGCTTGTCTTGGGTGCATATACGCTTGTTTCGAACTGACATATCACATAGATAGAAAAATTGTTTTTGCACATTTTCAATATCTTGATTAGGCAAGTCGATAACATTGTCTCCAAATTCGCTCGCTTCTGATTGTATTGAAGCGCTGTCACTCAATTCTATACACACAATATTTTCTTCTTTCGGACAAGGCATCTTGCTTTCAACCTCTTGTAATTGATCCACAGTTTGCTTCTCAACTGCAGAATAGAACGCGACGTATACAGAAGACGCAACGTGATATTCCCACGAATCTGAAATATTTGTAATGGTGGTATCACTGATTTCGTATACTTCATTCCCTCTGAAAATAACAGATGTATAATGACCATTGTGTATGTGTGCACCATAATGAAGGGCGCAAGAGGACAGACTGTATCTATGACCACCATTTTCACATGAAATAACAAGATGTGAAGGTAACAACACATTAACATCACTTTTCACTCCCACGTTCCCATTATTGACAAATCTCTTGAATACTATTGTCAATGTCTTTGGCATAGAAATGAGAAATCCAATTCGAACGTGAGGTGTCTCGGTTGCACAGTTGTCACAATCCATATCTACACTGTCTACCAGATCGTCTTCAATGCTTTGAACGAGATCTGCAACTTCGCATTCTAACGAAACAAATAGTGTATTAAATGTCTCCGGATTAAGAATCTCCCTTTTGTTGCATTTCGTACATACCTTTGTGTACTGACACATTCCTTCAAAATGTTCTCTTGTTGCTTGTTGCGTGCAGTCGGAGAATAAATTCGTGTAACTCTCATGTATGTCATGTTGTCGTCCTCTTACATATCCAAATTGCTTCCTGAAAACATTATGAAGCTCACGCGGATAAAAAGGAATTTTACTATCACTATTCAATTCCTTTAAAGTAGACTCCAAAGCGACAGTTACTGGGTCATCTAAAGAACTCTCATTGCCAATTAACGAGATATTTAATGTGTTCATGCACTGAATGAGACTATTCAGCCAGCAGTCGTTACCTTTATTCTTTAAACCTCTTGTGACGTTGCTGCTGTCAGGTAATGAATTAATATTATTCTTGTTATTATAAGATCTGGCGTTCGGTTGTTTATTCTTATTCTTTTTACTACCGTGCGGATATGCTTTCTTTTTTCGTTTCACGACGTCAATATTAGCACATTTATTATTCCTTGCCATGTTCTGAAATCTCTTTTTATCTTCCTTTGGTAAATTGTGCCACGCCTCTCCAGCTTCTTTGGCTAAGTCCGACTTCTTCCGTTTCCCATTTGCTCTATTTTTATTATCACCTTTGTGGAAGAATTCAAAAAACGCCGAAGAATGTCCTGTCCCTTTCTTTCTCTTAATGTCAAATGTTTTACTAAGTGGGACGGATGGAGATTGTTGAAATTGACCAACCTTAGGATTTCGTTTTGGAGTAGCTGGATCTTTCTTCCCCCATGTTTCCTGTGCGTTTGAATATTCATCAACTTTGACAGATTTTGAACTTGATTCGTCAACCCGTAATTCATTATAATTATCTTTATGGGCAGTTAATGGTATATTAACTCCCATAGGAGTCGTTGGAACGGATTCTTTGCAGCTGGGTTAACTTTTTCTGCCTTTATTAGTTACGTGTGAACCATTACTAGCATGAGTAGGTGGTACTGGCCTTACTGAATCTATATCGTTGTCAATTTTCTTTCTTTTATATAATTTCTTTGATACTTTCTCCGTTTTTTTGCAGCTGCGTTCACCTTCTACAGTTTTACTTTCATGTGAAGCATTGGTAGTATTATTATTAACATGCTCTACTGAAGAAGACTCATCATTAATTTTTCCGGTACGCATTTTTCTTCTTTTCGTTTTCTTGCTAACGAATCTGTCTGAAAAGTCAGTCAATCTTCGTCTAATCCTTGGATAGTTTTCAAGAACAAATGCGTCTGGTCGTAATCGTCGTCTTCCTGGAAAGTCTTCTTGCTTTAAATTTCTCATCATACCTTCTATATAGCCTTCAGTTCTAGCGTTTGCAGATTTGAATGACAGGTACGGGTAATCATCCAAATTGTTGTACTCTGAAGGGTTATAGCATATGTATCTATCTAGCGAACCTAGAAGAACACCAGACCATAATGGCATCTCAGGTAAATAAGACTCCAAGAAAGCAAAAAACTCTGGACAATAGCTTCGATTTTCGGCGCAGTGATTTTCATCACTATCATCATCTTCACTCATCCCCTTATTATTATTATCTGAAGCACGTTTATTATATGTTGCAATTAATTTGCCATAGTATCTATTGAAAGGATTACAATACACTTCGTCTTCCAAATTAGTACCTTCGACATCTATATTACTTTCATCTTGCATGGACGCTTCTTCCGCATTAAACGCTTTGTCCTTGTCTTCCATATAGTGAATCATCTCCCATAATCTAGTAAAAGCTTTTAAAACGTCGTTATTCTGACGTTCGTTCAGCAAGCACGTAGCGACATCTTCTAGAATCGAATCAAATTCATCTAGTGTCCTTGCGTTAACCAACAACGAAACGCAGTACATGTTAAAACGATACCAAACATCATCTTCCTGACATTTTGTATTTGTACTTCTATTTGAATTCCCTTTCTTACGAGAACGTACAATAGCTTTTAATTTTCTATGCATGATGCTCATGAAATGGCTACATCCAACATGTGGTACCATGAACTTAAAATCTTCATTCGAAGCTTCCATTCGCAATATTTTAAAAACTCTGATTAAAAAATCTTGAAGAGATTCGCAATTAAATTCTTTCAACGCGGCTAATATTATCGCTTTTGAATAATCTGTGTTCATTTGCCGAGGGATTTGTTGCCTTCCTTTAAATATTTTAGACTCATCTCTCCTAAATCGCTCAATAAACGCGCGGATACTGGGAGCGCTATGATCATTCGTTATCATTTCAGCAACTGGCATAGGTGGGGTTTTTTCTTTGGGATGTCGAACAACAATGGCGTAATACAATACCCTCTTTCCCATGAAATCCCTCACAATAGTTCCTGTCGCGTCCAAATAAGCTATATCCTTAGCACACAAATGATGCCACAGTCGTACTTGGTCTTCAGTCCACATATAAACCGAAAGTGGAAAGAAAGAAATAGTGTGAACAAATCCTTCTATAGCTCTTGGTGGCATTGCACGCTCTTTTTCTTTTTTAATCAATTCATCCATAACCTTCTTCATTGAATTCATTACATCTTTGTCTAGCTGTGTCTGTTGAAGTCCTTCGCTTGCGATTTTCCTCATCGTACTAGGCTGATTACCACAACTAGTCCTATTACCTGATGCCTTCGCGTTAACGGACAGACTATCCTTTAGTTCTTGATACACTTTGGAAGGTTTATCAGCCCCTTTATGAAATTTACTTGACATGTCTTTTCGAGTATCACTCTTTATAAATCTAGAATGTCTCTCTCCAGCAGAATGTTTCACGGAACCTTTATAAATAACGGTGATTTTTTTGGTGACTAGGTCTTCACGCCTCATTTGTAGTTGGAATGTACAAGGACAATCTTCAAATATGCAATGACCAAATGCATAAAATACAACAGGCGTGTTACGCTTTCTAGAATTCTCCTTAGTAATGTAATGTCGTCTAAAGTGAAAAGTGCAAAAGTTATTGGATTCCTTCATATATCGTGCCATTATATCAGTCCAAGGACATCTCAATGTATTTGGTTTTTCGTTATTAGGCCGTATTCTGTTCCACTCTTCTTTCGTTAGACGAAAGCAAGCTGATGTAGGAATGGGAGCTATGAAAAATGTATTTCCAGTTGGCAACGTTGGGCAATCCATCATCCTACGTAAAGTCTCATGTGGCACAGGAATATCGTCGCTTTCTGCGTCTTCTACATTCCTAACGAAATTATCAGAATCAGATTTTGTTGATGTATCATTCGATCCGTTATTGCTTATCTCGGCTTCACAATCGTAAGGAGAGTCTTCATTGTTTACCATGTCGCAATTGTCATTCCCCATTTCGGCTACATCATCACCATATAAGCTTTCGTCAGTGAAATAGCTACCAAAGTCTTCGTCTGAAATGTCATCTTTTTCAATACTCCCAATCGGTGACAAACTTGGATAAGCATCCGTGAAATGGTTAATGATGAAATCGCAGGTTTGTTTACATTTATTGTCGAATCTATTTTCGCAATCTTTCGTTAACATCGTCGACAAAACATACCCGTTATCATCAGCTACCTCATTTTTATGGAATAAATCATTCTCTTCGCTGTTATGCAATTCATGTAACTGATTGACATCCTGAAAACTACCAGCTTCTTCTTCGATCTTACTTCCATCATCATCACTATCACATGAGCTTTTGGAAATGGATAATAAATCATCCGTATTGTACCACTTTTTACGAGAAAATTGACTGGCACAAAGAGGACAGATGTAAGACTTTCCATCAGAGCAGTTGCTGTACTTATCGCCGTCAACCTTCGATTTTAAATTATTTAACCCTACGCAAGCTGGATGGTAGAATTCTAAGCATCCCGGCTTTTTAACGTCACATACTAAATAAAACCCTTTATCTCCTTGTTGACACAGGCACCAAATATTTCTGTTCTTGTCCTCTGGAGTAAACACTTTTGGAACACATCTTCGTCGTTTCGAAACTCTGTGTGTCACATCTTCTTCGTAAAAATTATTTGAAACGCATCCAACCTTCTCGCTATGATTGTTATTGTTATTGTTGTTGTTATCGTAATTGTATACGTTTTCACCGACATTATCTGCAGTCTCAACAGCAAACGGCAAAGGTTCTTCACTGATATTGTTATTAATAACCGTATGTTTCTGATCAGTATTGTATTCCTTCATGTAACTATTACTATCACTTTGTTCTTTAATGAATGTTTCAATCTTGTGTAATGGAAATTCTTCGCTCATCGTGTTATCACTGCTACTGTCATTTAAGTTTTTCGTTTGCTCCATATCGTCTTCACTGTAATCGAATGCCATATCACTATTTGGTGTATGCGACGTTTCGTTTTGTGCATTATATTTCTTTTCCATATTTCCTTTAATTAATTCTTTACGGGGGGTGAAAATTTTCTGTGCGTGGCTCGTCCTTTTTGGCATGCAGTTTTTATTTTGTTTCTTCGTAATGTTCCTTCCTCCATTTAAATTATAATCAAACTTACTTTCACTAACATTATTTGAGCTGAAAGCCTATGCAAAAAAATATACAGAATAATTTAAATTGCAAATGTAACAAACATTACGTTCAAGCCATATAATACGAAAGGTTTTCGCCAATTTCTTTGTAAAATGTTATTATGATACTAAACTAAGCTGGATGTCTTCACCCATAGCCGTATGCGTAAGAGCATATCCCAGTAGTTTTTTGGTCGGTAAAGTTTCAAACGGCAATTATACGTCAAAATCAAACAGTTGATTAAATCGAGCGGCACGTATTAAAATCGTATCAAATTTACTCCCTAAATAAACATACTGGGTCCGTTGCTTTCATTTCTTTCAAGCGATTTACAGTGTAGGACAAGGTCATTAATTGCATTGTGCTGAGTATGTCTGTGTAGTCTAATAATTGAATACCCAAAACTAATAGGGGTATTTCTATTTGGCTGAAACACGTTTATAATGCATTAATTGATTCCAGTTGCTCACACCATTCCCCCCTCCCTCACCCCTACCCCACATTACCATCCAGACTAAGTGGGACAATTACTTATTTAAATATTTAAATAATAGTAAATAGTTATTTAAAAACGATAGCCCTTCAGGTATTGTTGTTGTTCAAAGGGACCTCACAGGATTTGCACTCTTTATCCAGATGGCTGGGCATTTGCAGATGCGCGTTCACAAGTGTATTGATTAATAACATAGAAATATTAGACATAGAATGCGCGCTTGGCCACGTGATCGGTGTCCAAATTGGAAAAAAAATGCCCTTATAAATCCGCCATGTTCGATTTGAGTAAAAGTGGAAACTATACAAAGTATAAACAAGCTAAAACTAGAAGTTACTATCGCAAGGAAAGTGCTGCCTTACAACCAAAGCCCTGGGGAGTGATTATACCTATAAAATTCATTATCACACTGTATGTATGAACAATTTATTTTGTTTAAAAAAAAATCGAAATTACAACATGCAATAATTACTACATGTGATTGTTGGTACCAATGTTTTAAACCGTCTTCACTTGTCAAAACGTCTAGAAGAACACAATTAGGAAGAACAAACATATGGTCTTTAAACGTGATATGACTAGTTTGTTGTAAGTTAAGTTTTCATATTCTTTCAAAGTAATGACAGTCTACTGTATTTTCCATTTGATAACCAAGTGTCACCATTGGTTTTTTTGTCCAATATGTAGATGTTTCGTATTTATTTAGCATGTACAGGTAGTGTCCATTGTTGGTCATCATTATTGTCCAATATTGATGTAAAACAGGTTACTGTTATATAGATTATAGGAAACGATCACTTTTTCATACGTATTTATCATTACATCTGATCTAGGGAGTTTGAATTCATACGCAACGGAGCTTTGATACGTTTTTGGTGTTGGGTCTTTAATTTAAGTGAGTTGAAGTAATTAGTATAAGTAAAATTGATTGATATTTATTGTAATACCATGGTTAACTCGGTTTCTTTTGTTTCAACAGGGACATTTCATCACGTATTTCCCTCTTTACCCATGCATACGCTTCTGTTTTCCCCTACATGCTTGATGAGGGAAATTTAGAAGACAAAAGCGTACCTCATTACCTCTGATTGTAGAGCTGTACCTAATAGAGAATCATCGGCACAACTATGGACAGTATTTGACGACACCGTCCCGTATACGTTCGAACAATCACTTTGCCAGCTTTTATTCCCTAATCTTGAACATTTCAATTGTGGGAGAAAATTCCGTTTATGCGCATGCCTAAAACGCCAATGAACACGGATATGTGTTTCTGCGCGTGCGTATATATGAAAAGTGTTCGTACCACAATCATAAGACAATCAAACAGCATTCAAAACAGGCAACACACCACGCGCGATTCCCTCGTTAACTATGGTATTAGAAACTAATACCATGATATGTCGGGAAATTAGTGATTAAATGTCCCTCACCCTCGGGAGGTTTGTAGAATTCCCTCGGGCTGCGCCCTCGGATATTCCACAAACCTCCCTCGGGTTTCGGAGACATTCAATCACTAATTTCCCTCATATCATGGTATTACTTATAATAATTTACCAACGAGAGAGAGGGTCCAAGACCAAAAAGTAGTTGTGACGTATTTTAGTCTAGGACCTGTACATGAGTTTGTATGCGATTCATTTAGGACAGGTAATCTCAACTGTTTTAGGGTAAAATGACCATGGCGGTCAACATGGCATATGTGCGAAAACCTGAATCCGGGACAAAAGTCCTGAAAATGACCCCGCCCTGAAACGGCAGTGTCGACATAGCTCTAACTTCCGAAAAGGAAAAGCGACAGCCTTTCTGAAGTGCTTATAGTGTTTAGAAGGGTTGCTTTAGGGGTGGTTATTGGAAGGAAAAATTTGTCTAAGTATAATATTTTACCAGAAATTGACTATGCAACACCCCAGGTAAATTGCTGATTATGCACAAAATAACTAATATGCCTGGCAGAAATTAAATATTCTTGTTTCCTAAAAAAAATTATCATGGGATGAAAAACTATGCTTAATTTAATATAAATATTGTTGATTTCATAAGGAATGTCATTGTTTTGTTTAAATATAATACATTATATTTCACTTACCCCCCACGAAAATACGATTTCAGCCATATTTTGCCGTCTTGTTTGCTTTTTATCGCCGAATCTCGCAAATATCATCCTGTTATTGTACTTTTACATAATCATAAATGGCTAAAGAAGATTTCAAAGAAGGTTTCATCCAATTTTGTAACAGTGCAGTGTATTTTATCTTCGATATTGTGTCCTTGGATATTTCGTCAAATTGCCGCCATTTTAATGGCTCGCAGCTTCTCCGTCTGATAAATGCAACTTCTTCGTTTCCATATGTATTTAGATTACAGTATCCAAGAGCAAGTACATTATGTAATAGTTCCAATCCAAAAATTGGCAACATTTGCCCCATTAGGAAGGAAAAATCCTCCCATATAACATTTAGGTTCAAAATAATAAACAGATCATTTGAAAGTCACGCGCAATCTTCGCGTGGACACATGACAGGGGGGGTGAATATTTTCACGAATATGTTCGCCTCCACAGAAACATAACTAAATACATTGTATTTATTGTATTTTTATGATTTATGACAAAACTACGCAAATATTTATTGTTTTTATTATAAATCATAAAAATACAATAAATACAATGTATTTAGTTATGTTTTTGTGGTGGCGAACATATTCGTGAAAATATTCACACCCCCCCCCCCCC